AGCAGCCCACCTCCGCCCTCCTCTCCGCGCCCTGGAGTAGCGCGGGTGGCGGGAACAGGAATCGGTACCAGGGAGAAAACGTTTTGTGGGAGACAGAGAACGTGGGCTGGGGAGACGGCAGGTGAATAGAAGCGGGATGACGCTTTGGTGTGGGCAGGTGCCGTACGAGCAGCCCAGAACCACACGACCGTTTGGGGATGCAGGTGACAAGGCTTGGGACTTTGTCCCTCCTGGTCTGCTTGTCCTGCCTGTTACAGGCAGCTCGGGGCCACTTCCTACCAGGCTTGCAGGTTATTCAAACAGCAAGATACCAGGGTGGATTTGAGCACCGCTAAAGTTCACTATTAGGAGCACGTAGGGACCCACAATTTTGAACAGACCTAACAGGTTAAACACTGCCGGGTGTGTCTGGAAAAGCTGCCCACAGGCAGGCAATAAGCATTAACGTGATAGCCATCTGGACAGGCAGGGGAGCGTGCTGGCTCCAGCACCCGTGAAGTCAGAGAACCACAGAGACCGCTGTTAGCTTTAAAGCTTGCTCTTCTGCTGCTGGAGTAGAAAGGACTTGTGGCATTTGCATTAAGTGGGAAGAGAATGCCTAATTTAGGCACTTGAGTTCAAAAAGATCGGCTTAAGTGTTTTCAAGCCCAAATATCTCTGTGAGAAAGTACAGCTAAAAGCGTGTGGAGAGGTCTAGATCTGCAAAAGAGCTTAGGCACCAATATGGAGCTGTTTAAGAGCACAAATACCTCTCCAGATGTGGTTAGTAAGTGCACCTGTCTCCTACATATTGTGGAATTCAGAAATACAGTCCACAAGATCTTTTTTTACATTATGAATACTATCTTATAGAGTTGTGGAACTTCCTGAGATGCACATGCTCCAAAATCATCCAAGGGAATGAGCGAAATCTGACATTCATGGAAAGCAATGGCGAAGAGAGCCAAGGTGTGCTCAGCCTGTTCCAGGAGTCACCAGCAAAAATAAAAGACAATAGAGGAAGTTTTTGAAAAGTTACAAATCCTGCTTCATGTTTATCAACTGGAAACTGCTCAGAAGAGTGAGACAGTCTAGACCTGCAGCTGCCAATGTTCATAAGAGCTTCTGCCCACAAGATCTACCAATGGACTGCTTTTCAGCCAGCACTGAATACAGGACTTGTTGATACATCTGCATGAGCCTCAGGGTAGTAACTCAGGTATCAATATCGGTATGGCCATGACAGAAGGTCTGGCACTTCAGCTGGGAAGGTTCAGTGACCCACAAGGTCCCTTCCCCACTTCTGTATGATTTAAAGCTATGTTAACAATATCCTTTCTACATATGCTCCTCTCTGACTGCAATGCCTCAAGCCTTATTCTTTTACTTTTCCAGGAAGAGATGTGGCGCTCTGATCTCTGGGCAGGCCCCAGCCCCAACACCCAGCTGTCAGCAGGTCACCTTCAGAAATCCATGCTAATGGGCAAGCAGATGGCCTGAAAAGTCATGCCTTATTGGTACTAATACCTGTAGAGGCATGTAGAGGAAACCATTGTAAAACAGCTTGTGCATGCCTATCAGAGTAGTCACCTATGCAGATCTGACTTCTTCAAACACTTGCTGTGGGCTACAATCACTAGTCCTTGACAGTAATCCATCAGTGCTTCTGGGGCAGGTCTAAGAATCCTATGTCTTTTCCATTCCTGGGCTTTTTAGTCCTGCTGTCCAAAATGTATTTGCTGGACTTGGCAAGAGCTAGAGGCACTCTGTGTAGAACCAAAGCCTGTCCTCTGGAAAGGTGTCTTACCTTGAGTCAATGTTACACTTTCCAGTTGAGGATTTTTTTTCTTTTGATTGGTTTGGTTTTGGGTTTGTTTGGTTTTATTTTGTTTGTTGTTTGGTTGTTCAGGTTTTTGGTTTTTTTGTTGTTTGTTGTTTGGTTTTTTTTTTTAATGCCAATTTAGCCTAATAATAGTAATTTGGGTAAAATATCTTGATATTTAACCCAGGATGGTCTCACAGGGCAGAATTAACCTTGTATAACCTGCAGTGTTTACAATGCACATGTCTGCCTCTGAGTAGTCACTTCAGGCTCCTTTTATATTCACTGCAGATCTAGGGACATTCTTGTACTTAAAACATCTGTGTTAGAATAAAATGAATTGTGCCTTAGAATTGGTAGTCTTGGAGAATCTAGATGACCACATTATATGAATGTTTCTACAGCTGACCCTGTGAATGCCCCCAATGTCATGGCTCAGTAACTACATAAATATGCAGTATTCAAATTATTGTAGATTTGCCCTACTTCTGTTGTATTTTTATGTGCATTAATCACAAGCACAACATCTACTCCTGAAGCCTGTGTGACATTGAGTTTCTAACCTAAAGGACATGCTATCCGATACAAGCCAATGAGCAGCCAGGACAGACTATTCTAAACTTCAGGATATTGTAGACTGCATAGCTGAACAAGGGTAAAATCAAATTTCATTTTTCTACTATATTCATATGGGCATGGTGATGTGCCAGGAAATCACGTAGGGCATTTCATTGTGAGAAGATCTTGCTTTTCAAAATTAAATATAACAGGCAAATAGATTAACAGAAACACCTATGAATTTAGCCAAACAACTTCCAAGCTTGGATGTCCAAAGGTAGGTTTCTCAATCAATATTAAAGACACTAAATAAGTACCTGGAGTCAAAGTGGTCAAAGTTACTTGCCTTGATTGTGAACCCAGAAGCCCTTCTGTTTGCCTGTCTCGTCACCTCATAGAACAACTTGGGGTGCATGGGCTGGGTGCATGTGGCTGGAACCCCGCTGCATCACAGGAGCTCTTCGAAATCCTGATTGAGGGGAAAGCTGGCATGAGTTTGAAGGCAGATTATACAAGTGCGTGATGTCTTTGGTGTACTCTTTCAACTGAAGCAAACAGATTTTATTTTTTTTATTTGGATAGTAAGAAGAGTCCTTTGAAACACAATGACATATTTTCACTGCCAGTTTCCTCCTCAGCTTCTAGCTGGCGTTTTGCCTTGCCTTGCAGCAGAAAACCCCACAAGATTATGTAGGATGTCAAGAGCCACTTGCATTTTCAAAAACAAAGCAGACAAGATACTGGAATCCTGTTCTGCAAACTGGTTGAACTGTTTGGCCACATTTTTTTCTAATGTGCCTGAAGCACAGAGGTTCTGCAAATAATGCAACTCCAGCTCAATTCTAGCTGAGTCCTGGGGAGAATTTCACCTACCCTCAGGTTTGCTGTTCAGAGAGGCTTTTGGACAAGGAGCTGGAATATAGATTCAAGGTTTCTGCAGTTATTTGGATAGGGGGGTTGAGCATTCATGCCTGAACTTGGGGACTTCCCTCACAGAAGGGGGCAGTGACAACCTGATTCAGCCTGTTGAGACATCTAGGCCAGTGGCTCCTCTATTGCAAGTCAAGGTCCTCCTGCAGAGCTGGAACAGATGGGCTGTACTAGCTCCCTCTCCAGAAGTAAATTGAGTAGTGCCAGAGCCCAGGGGTCATCTACACCAATTAATCATCAACACGATCCCTGGCATAATTTTGGTTCATGCCAACTAGTGCTATTCCAAGGCTTCTGCCCAGTAGGAAGCCAAATCTTGGGGTTTTTTTGAGGTGAGGAAGAAAGTTTTAGGGTTTAATTTGTGTTGGAAAGAAAAAGGGTCCAATTTCTGCACAGACAACATTTATATAGATGGCTCTGGGACAGGAGGGGTTTGCAGTGGTGACCACTGCTGCTGTTTTTCACCCTACTGCTCTGCCACAACAGCAGTGGCAGAAATGCCTTCAGCCTTGTTGAAAACAACAGCAACAGAGGCAGCAGGAGGAGGACCCACAGAAGAAGCAGGAGGTGTGGAAGGAAAATGAACGGGGACGGTGGAGTCTTGTCTCCAAAAAGGAATGTGAATTCTCCTGCATTTTACCCTCACCACTAGAACAAGGGGCATCTGGATTTGAGAAGCCATCTGGATTTCATGCTGTCTGTCAGCTCTCTAGGACTGCTAAACATCTCGATTACAGTCTAACTGAGATTCCTGATGACTGTCCTAAAACCTGGTTGTTTGGCATGTCCAGGAGCAAAGCATAAAGCCTTTAGCAGTAGATCAGGAACTATGTTTCCAAATCTCTCCTTCCACCCCAAATCCTTCTTGTTTGTTTGGAGTCTTGAAATGACAGTGTAAGATGACAAATTGGGACTGAGGAATCATAGCTGTGAGTTTTAAGGTAAAGTTAAACCTTCCAAAAAAGGGAAGATGGAAAATTGTAAAAATCTCCTCAAAACAGGTTCATACAAGCAATGCAAAATGCAATGCAATCATTGCCATATCCCATATAGAACTTTCTCTTTTTTTGTCCGTTTTTTTTCTGTCTTTATTGGTCCCTTTATCTGTAAAAGGCCACTGGGAATACTCAATCAATATTAAAGACAGCAATTTCTCACAGTGATGTTGAGAAGCTAATTGTGAGTAGAAAACATTAAAAAATAGAAAGATGGGGTCAAGGATATTTCCTTTCTCAAATAATTTCTGCCTTCAAATTTGCAGCCAGTTGTGCGTGACATTCAGGGGCAAATAAGGCCAAGCTCAGTATTTTGTGACTGAAAGAAATGGGATGTTCCTGCTATTGAATAGAAGGTAACATACAGAACAGCTGATACTATTCATGTCTGCATCCATCTCATTCATACAAGACAGATCCAAAATTTAGTACCTAGATGTGAGGTTTTGTCTAATTAATTTGCAATTTTTTTTCTTATTTGAAGCTTGAGCTGTTATAATGCAGCTCTAACTTTGCTCTCAGGTTCCAATAGAGACAGTACCTAGGTTAACTATTCCTGGCCTCACAGATCCAAGAGCCATAGTGTACGAAAGCTGAAACTCTCAAGAAAAATTCTAATAATCTCAGCACTGCAGATCCCTTCACGAAAAAAACTGATATATACCTTAAGATGAGACTGTTATGAAGCAGTCTAATTTTGGTGTGTACTGCTTGATGAAATATTTGTGGGTAGCTTAGAAAAATGGAAGAACTTACACAAAATCGAGAGACAAAGCAGTCCTTCTTGCCATTTCCACTGTGTCATCAGCTGTTGATACTGGCTGCTAAATCATAGTTGTTCATGAGGAAGTTTCAGGATTGGTCTATATAAATCAGGAAAAAAATACATGACTAGATGCTTTGGTTGGTTCCCAAAACTCCAGGTTACCTGAAGAAAGACTTGCCACCAGAATTAGTTCCTCTTCCAGACAGTGTCCCTAGTCATACTGCAGTAGGACTTTTAAGAACACCTCAGGTGTGTGTTCTTAACTCCTAGCACCCCAAGCTTCTGCTAGTCAATGAGTGCCTTCTGTCATAAAAAAACTTAGGAGGAGATACAACTGCACTTTGCTTGGAGAACAATTCTCTCTGGAGGAAGAGATGCAAAATTTTAGCAATGTTCTGACTGTAGAGATGTCACAGAATCACAGAATCATTCAGATTGGAAAAGGCCTTTGGGATCATCGAGTCCAACCATCAGCCCTACTGTACAAAGTTTTCCCCTACACCATATCCCCCATCTCATCTAAACGACCCTTAAACACATCTAGGGATGGTGACTCCACCACATCCCTGGGCAGCCTATTCCACTGTCTGACCACTCTTTCTGTGAAAATTTTTTTCCTAATGTCCAGTCTGAACCTCCCCTGTTGCAGTTTAAAGCCATTCCCTCTTGTTCTGTCACTAATTACCCGTGAGAAGAGACCAGCACCAACCTCTCCTCAATGTCCTTTCAGGTAGTTGTAGAGAGTGATGAGGTCTCCCTTCAGCCCTCTCTTCCTCAAACTGAACAGTCTCAGCTCCTTCAATCGCTCCTCATAGGATTTATTCTCCAGGCCCTCCACCAGCTTTGTTGCCCTCCTCTGTGCTCGCTTCAGCACCTCGATATCTCTCTCGTATTGAGGTGCCCAAAACTGGACACAATACTCCAGGTGAGGCCTCACCAGTGCAGAGTACAGGGGCACTATCACCTCCCTACTTCTGCTGGTCACACTATTTCTAATACAAGCCAGGATGCTGTTGGCTTTCTTGGCCACCTGGGCACACTGCTGGCTCATGTTCAGCTGCTTGCCAATTAGAATCCCGAGATCTCGTTCTTCCAGACAGCTCTCCAGCCACACCTCCCCAAGCCTGTAGCCATTCAGGGGGTTGTTGTGGCCCAAGTGCAGCACCTGGCACGTGGCCTTGTTGAAGCTCATCCTGTTAACATTGGCCCACCGATCCAATCTATCCAAGTCTCTCTGCAGAGCCTCCCTATCCTCATGCAGATTGGTGTCATCTGCAAATTTACTGATGATACACTGTATGTCCTTATCAAGATCATCAATAAAGATGTTAAACAGAAATGGTCCCAACACCGAGCCCTGAGGAACACCACTTGTGACCAGCCACCAGCTGGATTTAGCTCCATTGACCACCGCTCTCTGGGACCGTCCATCCATCCAGTGCTTGACCCAGCAGACCGCACGCTCATCCAGGCCATGAGCAGCCAGTTTTTCTATGAGAAT